CTGGATTTTTCGATTTTCATGCAGTCGGTCCCAGAGTCCAGACCGTCCTAATGGGCTCCCATTGGGATACAATGGATTAAAAGACAGAAAATTTCATCAACTGCCAAAACGGACCTCATTTTGAGAAGAAACTCTGAGCTTCATTATTTGTGTGAGAGGTCACGTGAGTGCCTGACACCTTCTGATTGGTGGAAATCAGTCACGTGTGTAACGAACTGTTTTCGGACCCAAAAACACCCAGAGACGGCACGGTCAGTTAACAGAGTTTATTGCGTGAACGAGGGGCAATCCGGGGGCGTGGTCAGGGAAGTCCAGGTTCGGCAACAGGCGATCAGAATCCAGCGACAGTACAAAGGGAAAATCCAAACCGTGGTCCAGGTCAGGGCCAGGGAATCAATCCAAAGGGGCAGGCGGGAACTCGGGGTCACAGGCAGGCGGGGTCGGTACACGGGCAAGCAGAATAACTATGAATCGCTGGAAGTTCTTACCAATTGGCTTGAGACGTTCTGGCACTGGAGGCTGGCTGGAACGGAGCTTAAGTATGGATAGTGACAGGTGATTCCAATGGGTTTAATTGCGGAGTGTGGAGGCTGAGCAAGAGAGAGACGGTAGGTGGAGCCAGCTCCAGTGCCAGAACGTCACAACGTGATTGTTAAACAAAAAAAAACTGCTTTCATTGACAGTTTTCAGAGAAAGTAGTCAAATGAAAGTGGAATTTCTACTTCACAAATAAACTCAGAGCAGTTATAAACAACTAAATACCTCTGTTGATAAACTGGGGGGGGGTGTTAGAAATAAAAACCAAACTGCTAAAACCAATTTTTATTGAGCGACATCAGTTACTTCTTGGTTGCATAAAAACACTAAAACACGTCAACAGGACTCTGATCGTTAAGCATCAAAGTAACAGAAATGCGGTCTAGAAACCGTCCAGGAGATCCAGGATATCCAGGAGGTCCAGGAGGTCCAGGAGGTCCAGAAAGAGTCAGACGGGAGGCTACCGGGCTGCAGGTCCACCTGATGGGCCTTTTGGGGGGCATTATTGGGCATTTGGGGGCCGTTTGGGGGGAGGTCTGCTGAAGCCTGAATCCCTGAGTCCAGCACTGAGACACTAATACAACATGTTTCCCACTAATCAAACATCTGGAACATCTGGAGATTAGTTTCCCCTGAACTCAAACTATGGCTTCTGGGATGAGCTGGAGGAGGTCAGGAGAGGGGAGGAGGTGGAGGAGAAGGAGGAGGAGAAGGGGGAAGACCAGGAGGAGGAGATAGGATAGGGGGAGGACAGGAGCTGGAC